TACTCGTGCCATTCATACTATGCATACTCATACTATGCATTCCTGGTTGGAGCAAAATATATATGAGCTGTATTCATCAATTGTCAAAATGCAATTTGTTTTTTCTTAAATTCCCTAAAATGGAAATCCTATTTCAGATGAAACCTGTAAACTCCCCTTCTCCCAAAATATGGTTTATAATGGAAGTTTCATTATTTATATATGAAATTTCTCTCATATTTTGGAGCAAGGTGAAAACAAAGAGATTTTTTTATGTTCCGTGGTACCATACTATACTTGGATTATGTAGAATATTTTTGCTACTATAGTATTTACCTTTCAAATTTTTTAAAAAGAATTCTACAGAGGTTGAAGAGAACAGATGAAGAAATTGCATTAGACACAGGAGAGCAGCACGAAAAGTGTATGTATGTAAGTTTGTGTGCATATGTCTATATGAAAAGAAAATTTCTTCTTGTGACATTCCTAGCAGGACATCTAATTTGTCAAGTGGACTTAAGCTATTTGAGAGATCTTATGCTATTCTCTTGGCATTAAAGATCAGGTGCTACCTTTTGTTGGTGTTGATCCTGAGAATTTCCACAGGACCCTTTAGGTAGAAGAGAGATCAGAAATGGTTTTCTCAGTAAGAATAAATACTTCTTTTAATTAGAAGTATCCTAAATAATTTAAAAACAAAACAAACAACTATGATAAACTGCCATACCTGAATGAGAACTTAAAAGAAAAACTGAGGATAATTTAAAATCCTTGGATATAAAACAGACTAACCATTTTGTCTTCTACTTACGTTTAGATCAAAAGATAGCTATCTCTAAGTTTTCTATTTTAAATTAATATAAATAAATAAAAATAATAAAATCACTTGTTTTCTTTTTCTGTTTTCCATTTTCTGTTTTTGAATACAAGTTTTTCTTTGTATTTATTCTTTAGAGAATAAGCCCAAAACTACTGATAAAAATTGTTACATATTGCTGAATGTTTAATTGACTTTTGCTATCAATATTCAACTTTTCCTAAAAAGAGACATTACTTTTTTCTAATGTCCATGATACCGAAAAGGTTTTGCGTAACCCCTCGAAACCTAAATCTTGTTTTTGGTTGCTCGGTTGTGATTGACTTTATTTAAGGTTCTTTCACCCAAAATGATACAGCCTTAGTTTTAATATAGGCTTCACACTTTCAAAGAGTTAGAGAAGGTGACTGACTTCCAGGCCCCTGCCTTCAGCATATTCATGGATGCATTTGTGAAGGCTCTGATTCCATTTCCACAAGCTTTTTCTGTTGTGAGAAGTAGGCTCATGTTTCAGGGTAGAGAAGACTAACTATCCCTTTCTACAAAGATTTATTCTTACTGTGGATATTTTTTGCTGCTTATTCCCTGCTGGAAGCCTGAAACAAAAGCAACATGTAAGCCTCCCATTTTGTGGTCTGGCTGAACTCTTGGATAAAAAGGGCAAGCAGTGTGTAGAAGTATCATGCTCTGGACAGTTGCTTATCAGGGTGTGGCAAAGTTCACCTAGAAAATCATTAGCTTTTTTGATCTCCACTACTGGGGATTAAAGGCGTTCCAAGTCCTTCAAGTTTAGTTTATTAATGTTCACATTTTAGGTCACAGAATCCTTACTGTTATTTCTTGCATAAAAACTAGTATGGTTTTTGTATGTAAAAAACAGAGAAATAACAATAGAATGAGTTAATTTACACAGTGACTACTTTCCAGGTTGCTGCTCAGTTCCAAGCTGAATTGAAAATCAGGAAAAGGCCTGGTGTGAAAAAGTTCAATGCCTTTTTCTAGTATGTCAATGTAGTAATGTTTGAGGTATGCTAGATTTTATTTTGTGTTTTTACAGAATAGATGGTTGCCTTGGCCCGAAAACACAGGAAAACTAACCAAATATTTTAGATTCATAGTTTAAATACTTTAGAACAAACACAGACGATGGAAAAAGTAAGTGATCCATCATGTGATAGGTATTTCAATAAACTGCCTAAATATGGAGGAGAAAATAAATTCAGACAGTTTTTATACAAATTTTTAAGGAAATCTGTGACTCTCATGGTACCTGTTGCTTACTGGATTGCTAACATAGGTGGCTTGATTTTAGTTAGCTCTTCATCTGCATAGCTAATCATACTCTAGCAGTCTCTTTGCAGTCCACAGCATAACATGTAAAAACCACCATAAACAGATAAAATAAGGTTATATTAAAATTAATAAAGTTCAACTTTTTTTTTTTCTTTCAGTGCCCATTGTCTTTTGCATACTTGTTTTACACTGGACGAGTGATAGAACAGTTGAACCAGTTTCTGGGCTAAATGTGGCAATGTGGAGAGATAAGCTTTTTTACAAGTCTTGTTTACTGCTGTATTGTTTCATGTCTCTCTAACAGTGAAATTTAATCTATGCTAGAACAGAAACCTTCAAGACTTGAGAGAGGCCATTTGGCTTGTTTTTGTTTTGGTTTGGGATTTTTTTTGCAGGGGAGTGGATCTTTTTTTTTCTTGGTTGGTTGTGTTTTTTAAAATAAAACAGGTCTAAAATTTTCCTGACAATCAGGCTGAAAAAAATTATTTGTCCAGACTAAAAGTAGCATTATGTAAGACTACAGTCATTATACTTGACTTCTGTGTATCTCCTATCTGTCAGTGGTTCTGTGAGATTTTATTTTGTCTTGTCTTCTCTGTAGTCTACAAAAATTCTTGTTAGGTTCCTATTGTAGCAAAATGTGGGGATAATCTAAGGTTTTATTTCAGTTGAGTTACACTCTATAGAGAGAAAACTCTTTCAATCTTTGATGTACCTCAAGTTGATTTGGGGTTTTTATTATTTATTAAAATGGGTACTGTAAAGAACTGATATCTTATCCTCCTAAATGCACTTAGCCCAGGGATAAGGAACTCAAACTGTTCAGGAACAGAAACTTCAAGAATCTAATCTGAACAAAGTTCTTTTTCCTTTGACCTCCAGTTTTAAAAGTTGGCCTTTGCAGTGCTTCTTCAAGGGTGTATGTTCCCTGCTAAGCCTATGTTTGTTTATTTGAACTATTTGAATTTCAAAAATTATTGATTTCTGCATGTAATGGTTTGGTAGTTTTTTTTGTCACCCATGATAGGTTATGACAAAACCACTTGGTTCATTAGACATGTCTCAGCTCTTTAGTTTAGGAAGAGTTACACAGTCCTGACGCCAGCACAGTGCAGGCTGGTATAATCCATCTCTTGCAGTGTGTCACTGAGTGGGAGATTCTCTGACATCCACCAAATAAAGTTTATGAGTTCAGGCAGGGCAATGCACTACACTGTTTTTGTTTCAGGTCTTACTTGCTCAGACCTATACTGGGGAGCTGTGCAACATGTTTCTTTATGCTTGGAGGAAGAAACATGGACTATTGTGAAAATGTGTATCCTTTGTCCCCATATGTACAACTTCAATAAAGTAGAAACTTCTCACAAACAGGTAGTCTGAGGAAGAAACCAGTATCCAATACTCATTCTAATCTTCAGCAGTTCTCCCTAATGCTATTGGCAAGTTTGCCAACTTTTGACTCAGCTTCAACTGCTGTAAAACTAAAATGCTGCAATGAGCTAAGTGATACGTGAGAATTAATTAGATGGATGCTATTTTGTTTGAATGCAAATCAAGTCTCCACCAGTACTTCTCATTTGACAATCACTGTAGCACTAAAAAAATGCCTGTTAAATGTTATGTCTCCTTTTCTTAAGGTTGATCTGCAGTTGCAAGAAGTAGCTTTGAAAATGAGACAGCTTTAAAGAGAGAAACCTGAATAGAGATCACATTTCTCTGACTGAATTAAATTCTTACTGTGGCTCTACTTTGTGCCATTCGGTGAGCGTGCGCGTTCAAAAATGTTTCACTTCGCGTAGAAAAAGGGCATTTATTAACAAAGCAGTTGGAAAGAGCATCCTTCCAAGTAACTGTACACTGCTAGTACCACCAGGTATTCCCAGGTGCTCACTTCCTGGAAGACCTGAGGTGTCTTATTCTGTCCATCTTTATCTTGTTTAACTGTATGCTTCATTTCCTGAGTGTTCTTGCAACTAGGTAGCAGCATAGACTCTGATTCATGAATTCTGATGTAGAGAAACTAAAAAGTTAAGATTTTAAAAAATAATCAATCCAAATATAATCCTATCATCTAAATATGAATTTCACCCAAAGAGGTAATTTCATGACAGTAAGTGACAAATTGCTGAAAATGAACAAACTGCTGATGCAGCTTTTGGGCTTGTAATAGTATAAGGTATTAACTTCTAAAATTGAACTCTAATATGCCTTTATTTTTTCAAATATTCCAAAATTACTGCTAAGAACTGCCATTACATTTATTTTCAAAAAAAAAGATACATTATGGCTATTCATAAAGTATATAAGTGAATGAAAGCTGAGAAAGACATAGATAAATATATAATACAGATGCACATATATGTGTGTCTATATGTATAGACTAGGGCTAACTTTCAGAGATATGGGTTTTTTCTGATTGGAAATTTAGTTGTAGAATGGTCTGTAGGTTTCAGTCGCTCATTTGATAGACTAGCTTGTCAGACTCCAGAGAGGAAGCAGCTGTAATCTGATCTTTTACATGTTTGAAGATCCTGGATATGTTCTGTCTATACAGATCAGCTCTATGCTGGCCATCTGATATGCATATGTGGAAAACATGACAAGATTGGAATGAATTGGATGTAATGGCTTTTGGTACACGTGAAGATCGAAGTGTGCAACCTTTAGCCAGTAAAGCCAATATTCCCAGATCAGTGTACACACAAGCCTATCAGTGCAACACAGAGGACATCAGTCCCAGATTCAGCATCCAACTCATTGCACATGGAACATGTACAACCTGATTAAAAAATGCTGGGCACTGTTCTATAGCCATACACCTCTGAATTTTTTTTTCCTGCTCACTCTTTCATACTCAAGTCACACGGATAAAGCAAGGGTTAAGCATCCACCTTTCTTTCTTTCTTTACAGAAAGAAGACTGTCCCACAGTACCTGGGTCCTGGGTAAGAACTCTAGGAAAGAAAAAATTTCCTCATAACTCTTTTAAACCCTGTAGGTTTCTGCTGTGGAAGTGTCCTCTGGATTGAAAATGAAACTTCTTTTCATTATGTGTGATTTTATAAACCTCAGTCTTCCGGTCCTTGTCAAGAGCTTTTGACCATCTTTCACATGTATGAAAAATTAAGTATTCCCTTGCTTATTCTTCTAAGAAAATGGTATGATTTTCTTTTCCAATTGGATTTATATATAGTTTAAATTTCCTTTCTTGTTGAGGATAGTGGAAGCATTCTGTGACTTTCATTTGTTTGATACAGTCCTTTCTGATCTAGAGGTAGACTTTAAACTAGGGGAAAGGCAGAAATCTAATTAAACTACTCTGAGGGCATCTTAATAGTCAAAATGAAAAGTATCTCTATCTAAAATAATTACTGAAACACATAGATACTGGTGCCTTGTTTGTTTGTTTGTTTGTTGTGGTTTTTTTTGCTTTTGGTTTCTTTGATTTTTAAACCAAATAAATTAAAGTACATAATTTCCTCTGGATAAATATATCTTCATTCACATCAAAGTCTTGTTTGTTCATAATATGCTGTTTCTGTGAAAACCTGGATATGTTGGTGATCTTTAGGTACAACACAGCAGAAAAACACCAGGTTGTTTGAAATGCTATGTCTTGAGGACGACAGAAAAACTGTTTCTTAGGGCATAGGATAAACAGTCCCTTTAATTAATCAGTACATTTTCATTTCTTGTCTGAATTGCTAATTCATCTCATTTGATTGTCCATTTTTTTAAACTTTAAAAATTACTTATTTTCTTGAGAGAAATATAATTATTTGCAGGGTAAATTGTCTTGTAGAACAGAGAATTCTAGGTTTTTCCTGTAGTTAGGTAGATTTTCAGTATTCAAGAATTACTACTTTTTCTTGTTAAAAGTTGAATCCAATCTCCTGAGTAAATGAGTTTTTATAACAGTGAACTGTTCTGAGATCAACCGTCATTAAGGCAAATCTCTTCAGAGCCACTGAATATTGTGCTTAATCCTGTTGGCTTCAGTTTGTTTATGGCAGAAACGAATTTGCTGTATCTCTCATAAAACCCTTGCTGGAGTGTTCTTACAGTGTAAAATGGGAGCTTAGGAGAATTAAAGTCTAGGGAAACTGGATTTGATCTCAGCTGAAAATCGGTGTGTGGCCTTAATGATCCAAGCAACACAGTCCCTTTGATAATGTTGCTTTTTGAAGAATTGATAGGTCTTATTGCATTTGCAGGTGACTGGTAGGGGGATAAGAGTAGATGAAACAAAGGGATAATAGAATATTGTGTTTCTCCTTTATTAAGAATTTCTTTAACAAAACTGTTCCTGCTACAATATACTGAGTTATTAAAGGATACTGAATGGACTGAAGCACTGTCAGTAATTTGTAGTGGAAATGTCTTTTTCAGCTTTTTTGCCTTCTAATCTTAGTGGTTTTAAATATGTCTGCTGTGTTAATTCCTTCACTACTCATTTTTTTGTTCTTTTCTCTGTTTCACATTTTAATTTTAACCTTTAGTGGGGAGACCTAGTTGTTATTCATAACTTTTGGTTCAAACTGCTGTTTCAGAAAGTTCAAACAATGTAGGAGATTGTAAGTTTTGATGAAGGTGCTCCAAAATCAAACAATATTTGGTTTAAATGTAGTAGTTACTGTTTTATTTCTGAGATTGCTTTAAGACAGCTAAGAAACTGAAACATAAATAAAAAATTGAAAGCTTGTCTGAAAATGAATTCTATACAGAAACCTTTTTTAAGTATTAATGAATATACGTTTTAATAATTGTCCCCATGTGGAAGTTATAGCTTCATTTTCCCAAAAGAAAAATTACTTTTAAATGTTTCATGTGTCAAAGGATGAGAAAAACATCTTTCTGAAATAGATCAAGGCAATTAGTTATATCAGGTATTGTATGTGTATTTGCAGGCTTCTTTACAAGACCTATAATCTGAATATTTGAAATATTTCCTATGAAGTAAGCCTACAGTCTCATCCAGGATGCATATGATTTTATAAAAGGAAATAAAAGGCACTAAACAACAGTTTTGCTGTAACCACTTGGGAAAGCGGTTGCATGACCAACTTAATTCAACTAAATGCTTGAAGTGCTGACCAATATCACAAATATAAAGACAAAAAAAAGTACTAAAAAGTAAATGTGTACAGCTAGAAAAGATTTCTTTATTAGAAGATTTTTTGTTGTAAATTCATGTCTGTTCTATCTCTTGTTCTATTTTCCTGAATAAGCACAAATGGCTGGTTTTGGACTAGGTTGCTTCTATTGCTACCATTTCATAAAAGCACATAACCATTAAATTTAGTACAGTTTGTTACTGGTACTTATTTTAAAATGTAGGAATTACTGTGCCTTTTAAGGTTACTGTTTCCTTTACTTGGCCTGCAGCAAGCAGGATCAGATGTTTCAGAGAAAGAGATAAAAAAATCTGAAAACTGTCAAATCCAGAATAACGGTTTCAGACAGGAAGCTTTTCTGACGTTATTCCCGGTCTGTCACTTGGCAGAGGAGTTATAAATTCGAGGTGGGAGGAAAGTTCTGCCTTAGTTTTGTCTTACTTCTTTTCCTCCCCACTCATGCTGGTTGGAGAAAAGTATAATTATTCTGTTCTGAGATTTCCTCTTTTCCAAAAGGCAACATTTGTTGTGTTCTGCGTTCCTGATCTGCGTTGTATCATCATGTTGTATTGAAACCCAGCGCTCAATGCTATGTGGAGTCTGTTATGCATGGTGCATCACTTTGAAGAAACACAACATATTTACAGTTAACAGAGTTAAAGTAATGCAGAGTTTTCCCACCACCATGTCTGCATAGCTATGTGTATGCAAATGCTCGCAGTACTTGTGATCAGCAGTTGGCTGTTTTCTTGGTCAGGGTATGTGCAGGGAGGGAGGAGTTACACCTGCTTTTTGGTTTTGCAAATATAATCATGGTCTAAAATATGCTTGTACTAATGAAGGTAGTGTCATACTGAAGCAAGTAATTTTCCTGAACTGTCTTCTTCCAGTTAAAATGTAGCTAGCCAAAATGATATATCACTTTTTAAAGGCTTGTCATAACTAGGTTATTTTTGAACCTCTGGAATACCAGTATTCTCGATCTATATTTAATTTTTTATATAGTGATGAATTCTTTTTTTTTTTGTGCTTATTATTTGTTTTCTTTGAAAGGCTGATTTTGAGGTGAAATCTGAGGAGCGCGCCAGTGTCATCCAACAACTTGAGCAAACTATTGAGGATCTGAGGACAAAAATTGCAGAACTAGAGAAACAGTTCCCTGCCGCAGAGGTACAGACTGCTGGGAGGGAGCAGGAAAATGAGCACATACACGCAGGAGAACTCAGCAGTGTGACTCTTCAAAGGAATGAAGAGGAGACCACACCCAGGACTGTGTCACAGGCGAGATCTGTACAGACATCGCCAACAGAGGATTATTTAACACATACAATGCCTTCCATCAGTGCACTGCCACAGCCACCTCCCCCACCTCACTTAGAAGGGGGCAAAAGCGAAGGGTCAACTCAGAAATTGCCAGCTCTTGAACTACAGCCCACATTTTGTTCTGAAGTCTCCTTAATTCTGTCACCGAAGCTAATCTCAGTGCCACTGGATGCAAGCCAATCAGTACAGAGTACACTGCAGTCACCTCTTCCAGGACCCAAAGTTGATTTGTCTCTTGCATTTGAAGGAGAGATTGAAACGCCAGTTTCCCACCAGCCTCTGAGTACTGTGGATACAAAGAGTGAACATCCCTCTTTGTCCCGAGAGCCCACATGTAGCATTCCCTCATCACTGCCAGCAACAGAACAGGCTGCCTCCCTGACTAGAGCACATGGCGCTTCCTTTGTCACTCCCATGTCCATGGCAGGAGTACCACCCCCACCGCCTCTGCCCAGCTCAGGACTCCCTCCTTCTGCTGATTCAGCAGTGCCACATGTGGACCACTCCTTCCCAGGTGTCATGATGGCACACCTCCCTCCTCCTCCTCCACATTTACCAAGTGAGGAGATATCAATGCCTCCAGCTTCTCCTCTCCCGTATGCTGGATTCCCATCACCACCCCTACCACCACCTTTGCCTGGAGCAGGAGTCCCATCTTCTCTGCCTGGTTGGGGTATCCCACCTCCCCCTCCACCACCACCACCTTTACCTGGGGCTGGTGTCCCTCCTCCACCTCCTCCTCTGCCTGGCCTGGGAATGCCACCCCCAGCACCACCTCCGCCTGGAGGAGGACTGCCACCACCTCCCCCACTTCTGTCTGGAGCAGGCATCGCTCCACCTCCTCCACCACCTCTGCCTGGTGCAGCTGTACCCCCTCCACCACCTCTGCCTGGTGCAGCTGTACCTCCTCCACCCCCTCCACCACCCCTGCCTGGTGCAGCTGTACCCCCTCCACCCCCTCCACCACCCCTACCTGGTGTAGGTGTACCCCCTCCACCACCTCTGCCTGGAGCAGCTGTACCTCCTCCACCCCCTCCACCACCTCTGCCTGGTGCAGGTGTACCCCCTCCACCACCTCTGCCTGGTGCAGCTGTACCTCCTCCACCCCCTCCACCACCTCTACCTGGTGTAGGTGTACCCCCTCCACCACCTCTGCCTGGTGCTGGTGTCCCTCCACCACCCCCTCCGTTGCCTGGGTTAGGGGTGCCACCTCCGCCCCCACCAGTGTTGCCTGGAGTTGCACCACCCCTTCCAGCACCAGTCCAGGGCAGCACCTACCCAGCAGTCCCACAGGGCTGTGGGTTTCTTCCTCCTCCATTACCATCTGGTTTATTTGCAATGGGGATGAATCAGGAGAAAGGGAGCAGGAAACATGTGGTAGAGCCTTCTCGGCCAATGAAGCCTCTTTACTGGACAAGAATTCAGCTCCACAGTAAAAGGTAAGTCATAGAGTTGTGTAGAGAGTGGTGTTTTCACTTTGTGGCTTTCCTGATATTGTTGTTTGTCATTAGCAAAAGTCTTCATTGCTAGGCAGGTCTTTGAGAGAACCACGGTGCAAACAGGATTTTATATGTAGTTGGATATGTAAATGGGGTACTCATTTTCTTTAAAGTGTGCTAACTCTTAATATCATATCACGTGGAAGCTCTTCGAGGGTAGTGTTTTCAGCTGTCCTGTGGGGTTACATACAACGTGTTGATCAGAGATACAGGGGTGACTGTGTGCCATTAAGTGTTCTGTAAAATGTTTTTTTAAATGTCATATTTGTGGTCCCTCTCAACTTTCAAGGTAGCATTAGTCTCTCTCTGGAGCAGCTGCAAGTTTTGGTAATGTCTTCCCTCTAGATGAATATGTGCTGATTGCATTCTGTGCTCCTCTTTCCTTTCTTCAATGACCTGAATTCTTTTCTTTTTTTTTTCACCTTGTACACTCAGAAGGCAGATTCAAGCTGCAATTTATATGCATGGTAGCATAAAGCTATTTTGGTAGCCCTTACTTGGATATGATTTTGATATACTCGGTTTTGAGGTTTGATGCCTTTTTTGTCCATGTAAAATATCATTACTGGTCATGAAAAGAAGTTTCCTTATAAATATTTTATGTCTCTGAGTAGTGATTGTAAAACCCTTCTGCTGTTATTTAATGATGAATTTCTTCTTTCAAGTTCTTGCTACCGTCACAAAGGTGGTCTGCAAATAGCTGTGTATTTCTACTTCTCTTTCTGTCCATGTCTGTATGCTTTATAGCCTATATACAGCCTATTTTTATTTTTATGTGTGTAGAGTGTTTTATTTTTATGTGTGTAAATAAGCTTGACCATATCATGACCATATCATGTATGAACAAAGAAGCAAACCCAGAAGTATGAGGCAGAATCAACAATAATTCTTATCAAAATGCTGCTGGTAGAAATTAGGCAACAACTTTTGAATTACTGCTATTTTATTTTCTTAATTCCTCCATTTATGACCTTATTGAGTTTGACATTGCCCTACATAGGTCTTTTGCTTAACTTTAGAGATTCTAGTGCTTCACTTGTGTGGGAAAAAATTGAAGAGCCTTCCATAGATTATCATGAATTTGAAGAACTGTTTTCTAAAACAGCTGTTAAAGAGAGGAAGAAACCCATTTCGGACACCATTACAAAAACAAAGACTAAACAAGTGAGTACTCATTTAATTTCAGATCTTTTCTAGGCTGGTTTTTACATATAGGCATATTTTTGCATGAAGCTGAAATGAATTGTGCCTGAAGTGGAACTGTTACTATATATATATATATATCTGTATACACACTGTAGAAAAAACAAGAAAAGGAGAGAATGTAGAATGGAGTTCAAAGTTATACATGGTAAAGACTGAAGATTTCTTTTTTATATAAATTACTTTCCAAATATGTATTTTCTTAAAAATATCTTTATCCATTTTAACAAAATTAAAACTAAAATAATAGGTATTTGATGCTTTGAAATTGACTGCAGATGTGCAAGGAGTAGTATATAAATTATTCTGATTAATTTTATACATTAAATAATGATTTGCATATGAATTACCATGACTTCAGAGAAAAATTATGTTTCAGAATATACGTCCTAATGTTATATCAATCAGAACAGTTCTAAGTTTGTGCTGTGTTTATGTATATAAAGAATATGAAGTTTATACATACAATAAATGACAAACCACAGCTGGGAGAAATCCAACATTAATCAAACTGGTTTCTTGAGACAGAATGCTATACAATACAATAAAAATGGGAAGCATATTTTAAAGGTAGAAGTTTAAACCCCGGAGTAAGAGAATTGAATCTGAATGTTTACATGACTGTAATCTTCTGTAATCTTCTTGGTATCTTTGTAAAAATCAAATTGTGGTGGTATGTTAGGTAATTTGCAATTAAACTTTCAGGCTACAGAGGAGAACGGTTTTATGCAGAATCCTAAATAGCAGTTAAAATTCTTGTTTTATCTCGGTTTCATATTCCTGTACTAAATTTGAAACTAGGCTGTTCTTTCTATCATCTTTTGACATACAGGTTAATGCTATACAAGACTTTTTTCCACATTCAATATACAGTGGGACTCTTTATAACCTCCATTCACTAGATCTTATATCTGGGTATGACCTCTCCACATAATAGTTCTGGAAATCTTGCCCCCACAGAAACATTTGGGTCAGTAATATAAACATGTAGGTGCTTTACTGACGACCTGCTGCAGGCAACAGAACTGGTAATGAAGTTAGGATGATTATACCAAGGCATTGGATAAAACCTTTCTCTGGATGGATGCAAAGGATACCGTAGCTAACATACTGCACTGGGCTGTACTAACTGGGACGGGAGGAAAGGTAACGGGTGCTGCTGCCTTGCTGTCCTCAGTAAATCTCTGAAGTCCAGGACCTCTGCTCCTCTTTTCTCCTTCTAGAAAAAGCCGTTTTTAACAGTTATTCTAAGTTACTATCTTTAAGTAAAAAAAAAGAGTGCAACGGTGTTACTGATGCCTTGGGTATGAACAATTGGTCCCTTCACATTTGATAAGGTTTGGTGATGAAAACCTCTCAACAGAGTAGAAATGATGACTGTTTAGTTCTGTAGCATAAACAGTCCTTAAAGACAGTCAGTGATTATGAATAAACATTAGATGTAGATTTTAATACTAAGTACTTATTTTTCTTGCAATACCAAAAATTTAGATATATTGACAATAAATAATAGAAAAAAGAAGCTAAAATTAAATTAAAATGACTGATTGTTCTTAACTTGTTTGAAAGGAACAAGTTGTTTCTTCTGACAGAAATATGCACACAAAAGTTTAAAGCAATCAAAGTAGTTGTTGTCATCTAGGACAAATATTTCTGTAGGCCACATAGATTGACAGAAGAGAATCCTCAGAGTGTTTCTTTTCTGCTGGTGATCAAACAAATGTGCTGCTCTCCAAAATAGAGAGAAATTGCCTAATGGAGAATTCTAACTTATTGAGCTGTAGTATCTGGGGAGAAAAGATCGACCAAGCAGACAATCACAGGCTTTCATTAGAACTAAAATTAGAGCTATCATTTATCGCAGATGTCAAAGTTAAATATTCATGTGTGAGAATCTAGTTTGGGCTTTTCATAGTATTGACCTGAGACGATTGAAATAGAACAGCTTCACAAATATATTCCATGTACACCCTCTCACCAGTTTGGAATGCAGGACTTCATTTTTTAAATTCTCTTCATTTATCCTGCAGTAAACACGTGGATAATGAAGTCCATCCATGTTTATCAGGAGAAACAGTTATTTGGGGAAAGCATGGCTGTAATTCCACAAGTATGTTTTTATAGGGAGTACCAAGTGCTGTTTAAGTGGTTACTGACTTACATGGCTTCTATGATAGTTACGGGCATTGTAAAGATCTTACAAATGGTGTTTCTGCAGTGATTTTTACAGGGATGTGTTATGCAAAGCAGATGTGTTCTGTCACCTGTTGAGCTATGAAGGAGCATTGTAAAGAACAGAACCAGGACCCTCAAAGCTCACTTTGCTTCTTTCCAGAAGCGCTCTTTTCTGGCAACTGGTTTTGCTCCTTGCGCTGATGTTGCAGGGTCTGCTAAGTGAATGCATTGTTTAGATGGATTGGATGTAAAATACTTGCTACAGTGGAAATAAATGACCAGATAACTTTCAAATGTATAAAATATTTTGTATTCTATGCAAATATATGATTTTAATAAAACTGTTTTTATTGTAAGCTGAAATAAAAATATATTTACAGAGGAGACCACCCGGCAGGAGGGGGAATTCTAACTAATCTGAAGAAAGATTTGATAGTTTTGGGATGTTTTAGTGGGTGAAAGATTAATTATTTTGGAATACACTGCTGTTCTGCACACAGAGCTTTTTATTCTAAATGTCATAGAGTATATGCATATGTTTCCTTGTGTATGTGTATAGAGAAGCATGATGTAATTATTTCTAAATAGAGAGCCCTTTCTAAGTAGTAAACTTATCTATATTATTGTGGGTTGGTTTGGGTTTTTTGTGTAAATGAATGAGTTAATTTCACCCTACACATGTTTTGGTTCTAGTTGTTTTCTTCTTGGCATGATCATCTGCAAATAACTTAATACAATATAAATCAATAATGCTTTAAAAGAAAATCAGTATTACATTTAGCACTGAATGAAGGCCACATTAAAATCCATTCCAGAACTTTAAAGAAAGAAATAAGGAACTGTTAATATTTATTTGTGAATGCAGCTGATTTTATTCTCACTGTCTTTCATTTGGGGCTATGGCAAAAACTGTGATTTATTTCACTCTGTTAATGCATATATATCAAATTCTCAGCTGCTGTAAATGTGTGCAGGCTTGCTCAATGATAATGCCTGCTAAATCTTCAAAGAAAGTCCTTTATAGGCTATATTGTAGGTGGGGCTGCCATTGCTACCTATTAAAGTGGTCTGGCTTTCATTATAAGCCCCTGTTATAACTTTGCCAAAATTCAGGTCTTTAGGCTGCAAATTTTGTTGAGTTGGAGTTTGTATTTCCCCCCAGTGTTTGTGTGTCCTTCATTTTGCCAACAGTAAGAAAGAAAACAAAGTCTGCTTTGGATCATGTCCTCATAGTTTCAGAGACTTGAAATACGGAAAAAAATTTACCAGGTATATGTATTGTTAGTTGTATAAAGGGTTTCTTGAATTTTGCATGTCTACAGGTGATAGGCTCTGCTCCTCTTGCTTAGGAGAGACTTCAGGTATAATCCTGAAGATTTTTCTCCAACTTTGTACTGGTGTAGGTTGGAGAACAGGGGCCAAGAGGAGGGAGGCAAAGGAAGATCAAGATAAGTAACTGGCAAAGGAGCGAAGAACTGAGATCCGACAGCTGAAAATACAGAGCATAATAGGTGTGATTCTATGTCACCTCTTATTCTGTCCAAGATAATTTCTCTCAGAAACTTGTTGTGAGTCTGGGGTGTCCTTGACCTGGTTGTCCTTCCAGCAAATAGTGGATCTCATCAAACGTGTAGCATTTGACCCAAGCAGCAGGTAAATCTCACTCTGGGAGTGTCTTGTTCAGCTGTGCCCTGTAGTTACAATACTAGTTATGGTTACATGGCTGGATAGTCTTTTTCATAGGAACCTTTTCCATAGCTAGAATGGATTGTGTGGAATAAGCACAGTTCATAATGATTACTTTTTAAATTAAGCTGTTACCTATGTAAAAAAATGCTTTTTAGCAGTTGTTACAGCACTTAAAAAGACATGTAATTAATGAAGCAGGAAGAAAAAGGGTAGTCTTGAGATAAAGGACACATACTCAAGAATGATGGCAAATGCAGTATTAAAAATCTGTTTGCATGGTGAACATTGGCTAGTGTACATTGAGTGGATTCAGTGGAAAAATAGTACATACTCTGAAAATCTTGATATCACTGTCAGCTTAATAAGGATACAGAATGGGCTGAGCTGACTTGCATAGATTACTTTCCTAATCTTTGAACAGTCATTTTAGAAGCTTTACTGATAATCTTCTAACTGCACTTTTGGAAAATATTATACATGTAACTGCAATGAATTTTTCAATCACAGACCATGTGTTTATAATCTATCATGTAAGTGAAAAAAAATGTTAAAGATATTCTCATGTGGATAGTCCACTATTAATCTATTAAGATTTTAAACTCCCCCTTCCACCCCAGCAAATAAATAATAGGTTACTAAAATTTCATTCACTTTCAAAAGCCTGAAAGTGAATGAGGTGTATAAGGTGTGAAGGTGAATAGGTGTATCAATAAAACATTTTAGTTAATGATTTCGGGATTTTTGAATTTTTCAGTTGAACGTTAAGCTGTGGTAATAGAATACATCTAGAAACAAAATGCCACATAAGTATGAATTGGTAAATTAGGTAAATGCCTTATTGAGTTAACAGATAAAAGTTTATTCATGTTTATTCATTTACAAGGAATGACATAAAGGGAAACATAAGTTTATTTTAAAAGAATGGTTTATTCCCTCTGCGAGCAGTGGAGACACTGTCTTAAGGAGCTTTTTATATCCACAGTTATTGACCTTTTATGTGTGTCAATGGCACAACAATTTGCTATAATTTTTTGCACTTTCCAGAGACACAGTCAGGGTTCTCCCGCCCCCACAGGTGGAAATTTTAGAGGACTTGT